GAGTCTAGGGGGGAAAGGGGATTAGTTTGATTTTCATCTTTCAATGCAATTTAACACAGATACTAAATAACTATAATCCAAGTGTTCTCTCCTTTTACAAATAGTTGTAATATTGATGAAAAGACATGTTCCAGTGAAATTTTAATGTAAGCGTTCTTAAAATAATGAGGCTGGATATTTTCATTAGGATGTTTTACTGTACATTGCTATCTATGCCGTGACTAAAAAGCAAAGCAAAGTTAGAAAATTACTTTGTATAATGAAGAAATATCATTTATAGGTAAGAAATACTTTAAATGCCCCTTCCACCTCTATTTTTTAATGACTGTTGCACAGATTCTGTTATACTTCTAAACAAATCTTTCAATGCTACTTTTTTGTCATTTTTTTGATGCACACTGGTATATTGAGTTGGAAAGCAGTTGTCTACAAAAGCACTTTTAACTGCATATTATGCCTGCTGTATTATATTTTTATGACAATGCCTGTGGCACAAAAAAAAATGGAAAAAAAAGAGTAAGAAACACTTTGAATGCCCCTTCCATCTCTATTTTTTAATGACTGTTGCACAGATTCTGTTATACTTCTAAAAAAATCTTTCAATGCTACTTTTTTGTCATTTTTTTGATGCACACTGGTATATTGAGTTGGAAAGCAGTTGTCTACAAAAGCACTTTTAACTGCATATTATGCCTGCTGTATTATATTTTTATGACAATGCCTGTGGCACAAAAAAAAATGGAAAAAAAGAGAAGCAAAACAAAAAAAAATTGCACACTTCCACCAAATTAGCCATTTTACTACTTTTTTTTATCTGTTCAGACATTTCATAGTCAAATGGTTCCTTTTGGTCAAGTGCCCATATAATTGAGTTTAGAGTGTTTCAGTGCACTGACCTGTAAGGGTTATACAAAAATAGAGACAGACATTTTCTCTCATGAGTAGATTCTGTAACAAAAGAGTAATCAATCTCTGAAATATAAATATCTTAATTACTAAGTATTCCTCATTACAAGTGGGACACCTGTATAATTTCAATTTAAAGTTTTTGAAAACATCCTTCTCCTGTAATACTGTTTCCTCAAAATAAATAAATCCTGTAGCATAGGCATTCTGTATCTCGGAACGTGTGACCTAACCAGTCATCTCTTTCTAAATGCAGAACTAAATTGTATCAGAGAGAGCTGTAGCATAGCTTTATTGATGACCTTGGCAGCAGACCACATACAACCTTTATTTATTACATTCCATTTCAGTTTCTATATTGGTATTCTCTATGATATTGTTGCTCTTTGATCTGTTCACCGATCTTGTTGGAGATTTGCACCTTAAGATGTTCACTGTAGTGCCTGCACCACTCAGCTGACTCCAGCCTGTCCTTCACTGTCAAGCTCCCCATCTGTTTCCATCTGTATTTGTTTATGTGTAGCTCAGATTAGGCATTATCACTGTTCTTCCTTCACAGTTCTTGATGATATGAACATCTTCGATGAAACCAGTGGCTCTGTGTAGTTCTGCTCTGTTAAGGCCTTTTTGTTTGTCCATACTGCAAATGTCCTATCATCACTGTTCTTCCTTCACAGTTCTTGATAATATGAATGTCTTCAATGAAACCAGTGGCTCTGTGTAGTGCTGCTCGGTTAATGCCTTTTTTTGTTTGTCCATACTGCAAATGTCCTATCTCTGACCATACAATTCTTGGCAACACTATAGAACAAAAGCTCCTGGTACCAAATGATTTGAAAAGGTACAAAATGCTGGGCATCAAATTGAACCAGAAGTCAGTTCCCATGTTAGGTACTGAGCAGTCCAAGTTTGTGTCCGAATCCCAGAAAAAATTATTATTAAGAACAATTTCTGTCTACGGTATCCAGAGACAATTGAAACTGGTTGAGACCTGCTCATTTCCCATGTTCCTACATGAACAGTTGTCCATGTCCCAGCCCCATCATTATTCATGTGCCTGCTCATGGCTAATTTTCTGTGTCAAATTCCCTTGCAGACAGCATACCTTTCCCCTGGGCTTTATTTCTCTGTCTATTCTGTCTGCCCAAGACAAGTCTTTAGGAGCTTGCTGAACCATAAAAGGGCAATCATTTTACCTCAGAGTATAGAAGGGAATGACTGCCACCCTGTCAGCTTCAGTTCCTTTGGAGCTTATTGGAGACAGCAGACATTTGGAAAAAATGAAAATGAAGCGGCCACCAGCTATCATGTTTTTATGAGACTTTTATCAAATGCCTCAGAAATGTTTCGATGTTGCTGACTTTTACAATTAGAATGCCAAGATAAGAAAAGAACTGCTAATATTCTTATTCTAATTTGTTTCTGTGTTTACCGTATACATAGCTGTAGGATTTCTTTCTTCACCAGCTGTTGTGGTGTCATATCTACTGTAAGATTCTGAAGAGCATAATTGTACATTATGCACAATTTTTTCATAAGCTTATACTTGCATGCTTCATGGTGATTCTTTTCCTAGTCTCACTATCTTATATACTTTAAACTGTTTTAAGACAGATTTATAGTAATGATTCTCTTATGCAGCAGGAGCATTTGAAAGCTTCAATATAAGGATTTAGGTACAAAGTTAAGATATGTCTAACTCTCAAAGAAATATTTCCCTTTCAATAGCGTAGCATTAAATGAAAATTGCCTCTCATAACAAGCTTTAATCACATGAGCTGAATCCCCAGCAGTGACGATGCAAAACTTCCACTAAGAAATATAAAGACTTTATTTCATGGTTGTCATATGCCAACAGTCTGGATTCCAATAGAATATCCTAAGTATAAAGATTTATGGTGTTTCTTTACAAGAATGGAGATACTTATTTTGCAGCCATATGTTGAATATTGGTATTTTGAAAAAGTTAGTTCCTTGAATAGTGTCTTAGTAAGGTAAGCTGTCAGTGTAATCTTTTCTGTTTGATATAATTGCTAAAAAGAGATCTGTAAAAAAAATGGAACAGATCCATCTTTTAAAAGATTAAAATCATGTGTTTCATGTGACTTAAAATGTGCTAAAGTGGTGCTAAGCAGGAGTGGAAATTTCAGTTGGGTTCAATTTTAAAATATATGGTGGTGAATCATAATGTGTATAATCAATTAGAAACTGGGCGGTTCGTTTGCAGTCAGAAAATTTAAGTGTGTATTTACCATGTTTCTTTAAGTAAACAAATTTATTTCAATAAACATGAAGAAATTCTAAATTATAATGCAATTTATCTATTGTGTGAAAAATTTTGAATCAATTACCAATTAATAAACATGTTTAATTTAAAGGCCACCTGTGCCTTACCTCTGTAGAGTTTGAGCTAAGCCCATTCATAACATATCCTACCAAAAATTAAATTAGTTCCAAAAAAAAATTCAAACTTGATATGAAACTCAGTAAAGAGATTTGTCTGACAGTTGGTTTGGGCTAGAATAGATTTAGGAGCAAAGAGAGAAACTACCCATTTTTATGCAGTGTTCTGCAAAGACAGGAGTCAAAAGCATCACCAGTAAAACTGGGTAGGGCTCTCGTGTAAGAATTCCATGATTTTTATCTGGAATATTTTGTACCTTTCCAAACCTTTTTGTATTATAGAACAATGTCAGTCATTAAGCATGTCTGATTCTAAACTCTGCAATTTGTTAAATCCTTAGAAAGGCATCAGGTAACAGTAGTTCTTAGAACTGCGTGCAAGGTAGTGCTCTATTGCGTTTTCCTAAAGATAACCCACACTGAAATTCATAAATAATTCAAAAATACTTAGAAAAAATATAATTCATTGCACAATATGCAACAGAGGTAGATGAAAAGTGACTATTTCCTGCCTTTTCCATAAGGAGAGTTTGCGGTTCTGTGGTAAACTTAATTATATTTACAGCAGGATGAATAAGCAATTGAATTTCATTCAGGTATTTGTTTCCATTTTTGATGGATTTGCTGAGTCTGCACACATGGGCTCCTTGTGTTTGCTTGTATGCATGGAGAGCATTCTGAGTCCCAGTTGAAGAAATATTTGCATATTGATATTCACACAAAGAAATTATAGCAGAATAGCTTTGTGCTCATCCAGACACCTGGCTCATGAAGCATATATTCTGAACATAAACAGTATTCCAGGCCCTCTGAAGCCAGTAGATACTCCTGTCCCTTCAGGACAGCTCTTTATGCTTTAACTCTCATACCTGCTTACACACACATAGGTATTTCTACAAATATGTATCTAATTATATAGTTCAAATTTAAAAAAGATAAAGCCATTGTAGAATTTTTAGGAACACGTTTGAATCTGAAAGCAAAGAAAAGGAGAACTTCAGTCAAGTTGTGAATATTCATCAAAGATAGGTCTTTGTTCAAGTAAATGATTACAACCAGGTCTGCAAGAATTTTATTCCATTTTAATTCCAAACATTGCATTATCTAGAGCAATGGGGGACAGCAGGGCTGGGGAAGGAGCCAATGGCTGTGGGTACTGTAGGGCACGGGATGCATGTAGTAGTTTATGCCCAGTCACATGCCTTGTGTGATATGGACGTGGCCGTTGGAGCTTCTAGATCAAAGCTGACTCTAAACCAATATGGAGACAATAAAGTGCCTTAGCACATAAATCCTGCTGGACTAAGTTGGCTGGGTGTGGGTCCACCTCAAGTGTTCCTTCCTTGCTGCATTGTAGGAGTTGATTGGTTTAATGGGACACTGATACGCTGTTGATTATGCCTGTTTTATTATTCAAGAGTTCTAGAAAAGGACTCTGGCATGAAGATTGCAGTGATAATAGCAGGAATTGAAGATAAAAAGCTGTAGTTTTAAACTAAAAGCCTACTCATAATGTTGTAAGTGCCATGACAGAGTATTGCTGACTCCTTCCATGAAGCTTACTGTTTATTTTGGAGAATCACTGTTGCCATTCACGTAGCTCTTGAGAAAATGCTGGTGGTCTCTTTAATAGGTTAGTGTGTTAACAGCTGACATCTATTAACTTTACCATCTTAATTGGATCCTTTTAGATGTTCAGCCAACTGGTCAGGCACACAGTGTGAGAGGCCAGCTCCCAAAAGCAGCAAGTCTGACAATATCAGTACAAGTAAGTATTTCAAATAACTGCTATCACTTGTCAAATTTAAAATTTCAGTTTAGAAATTTTAACCTGGTGACATAATGTAAGTTTGTGTCATGAAATGTGCTGGTTACCTGTATTTAAAAAAAAAAAAAAAAAAAAAAAAAGTTAAAAAGAGTAGATATCTCTTGGCTTTTTGATTGCCTTTTGGTGTTTCATGAGATGGTTTGGATCTGAGCTGTCACTCACTGCTTCAAGGGCTAGGCTGCGCTTTTCTTAAAGAAAGTGTATCGAGTGGCAAGCGTTTGGTGATATCACTGCTGTGCAGAGAACTAGTACGAGACCTCTGACCATTTAAGTCCTACTGAAAGCATCAAAAATAGAGTTGTAGGTAGTGCATAACTTTTGCATTGGCTGTCTGTGGAGGTTTGAATTTTACCTACTGTGACAATCATCCTGGAAGTTAGAATAGCTCCTCTCGTATTATTATTTTTTTTTAAACATGTCTGTAAGCATAAAAGTCTGGTATTGCTACACTATTGGCAGTTTAAAGTGGACAAGGTTCCCTGCAGTGCATTGAGTATGCTGATGGTACCCTGCTGTATACCTCTCCGTCACACTTAACCCAACTCGAGCAGTAAAATGAAGCCCACTATTCAGGTCAGCTCGAAGCTTAGATGAAATCTTCCTAGAGATCCAGAGAAGTGAAATAACACTTACAAGTTGAAAACAGGCAAAAAAAGCAGCCAGAACCTAGATCAGTATTTCATGTTGAGGGAATACCTGCTACAACTCAGGAAATGGGTGTTTGCCTTGAGCCTGCTGTTAGACCCCATGGTCACCAGATGGCCATTCATGCCTGGTGGGCTCTTTTTCAGAGTTCTTTTTTTAATGTTTACCTGCCAAGATGAAATGAACCTTTTATTTTTATTTTTTTTCTCCTAAACAGAACTTAATCCACTTATTTATCAAATGTTGTCTCAAAATAGTATTGTTGTAATGTCCTTTACATGAGGAATCTTTGTAAGATGAAGTGAACTCAGGATGCTTCAAGTATTTATTATTACTTCGTTTCAGGTCTCTGACCACCTGACTTGGTTTTTAGTAAGCCTTCCAGAAAAATTCAAGGCATCTTTTTCAATTCTTTGTTTAGACTGTTTAATGTAGAGCAGAGACTGCCAACAGCTTATTTTTTTTTTTAATAAATCAATAAATTTAACCAATGAAACCACCAGCAGTATTTTTGTTTTCCACCAGTTAAGGATTGTGATATTGAAAGAAATGCACATAATTCCTCATTGGCTTTATACTGGCATCCTGTAGTTTATAAAGGCCAGTTTTTATAACATAAAATTATTTTTTGCATGTGTTCCTTTATTGCCAGACACTTACATGAAAGCTAAGGAATTATTAGAAGGGTACAATTGCTGACCTTATTTTTGCAGGTAGTCTCATTTCAGTGAAGTTATTTACCAAAATAACATTAAGCCCATTTTCTTCTTCCCTGCTCCCTCCTCTCCTTTAACATCGCTGTCTGATCTGTGCACTGTTTTTCTGCTACATTAAGCATTATTGTAGTTTCCTTGATTGCCTATATCAACATAACCAAATTATTGACTCTCGGGTACAATGCAGTAAAATGCAGGAATGCACCAACCATCCAGAAATGAATATTGCTTACTACTTTTCATTTTCCCCCAAATAAGAGTAAAAAATATATGTAATTGCTAACTATGGAATTCTTCAATCAGAGCCATGCCTACTAAGTGTTTTAAATTAACAGTTGTGTGACTTAACTACTGAAGATGATGGTAGTAGTTAAAGCCAGTGGCCACGTGACTCCAACCCAGGTTGTTCAGCAGTTCCTCACACCTTCATGTGGTGTCACTCCAAATGAGGGCAGGGAATTAGTCCAAAATATATTGGTATCCTTAAAGAGGAAGCTCCTGATTTGTTGATAGAAGTACTTGAGTGTGAACCATTATCTGTAATGATATGGGTTTTTTTATTGATCACCATTAAAATCTGAAATCAGTGAAGCTCATCACATGAAATTCCATCTGTTGGTGAAGGATATTTAATTTTTTTTTAATTAATTTAACTGTTTAATGGATGTGAAGAAATTATTAGATGTAGCTGTGAGTATTCAATGATATTTCTTTTTCCAATTTTAGGAAGCATTGCAATCATTGTTCCTCTTGTTTTACTGGTGACTTTGATTACTACTCTGGTAATTGGACTCTTTCTTTGCAAAAGGAAACGAAGGTAAGTAATTTTGTATTGATGTATGAAGTAAAAAAGTGAATCTTTAAAGTATGTGTATCTTTTTGATATAAAAAATTCCCTTTATATATGTTGAGCAGATACATAAAAAAAAACCACAATAGACAATCAAAAACTTGGTTCTGGATGGAGCGAGTTAGTTACATTTTCGTTCTTGCTGGAGTAATCATGTTTATTATTTATAGTTATATTCCATACACACTAGAAAAGAAAATTTAGTTCTTTTTTTTTTTTAATCCAGTTTTCTCAATCCTGCCAAGGCTGTATAAGTGTTAATAATTTTATCCAGAGACCTAGTAAATAGAATTATTAATGTATTTCATTGGAACCACATAATTAATAGTGTTCATGTCTATAAATACTTTCAGATAGAGCCTGTGGAGAATTTCCAGTTTCTAGTTACAGTTCACTTCAATTTATTTACTTTGATTAGTTGTTTTCAATTTTATATAAGTTATAGCGAGGATGGAAGCAAAGTTCAAAGTATCTGCTGTAGACTCTCGAGCCTTGTCATCATTATTGTATTTCTTTAGTATCTTGCATAGGAAGCCAAATTCCAGCACTTACCAGTAAATGTTTTGATTTTGAATTTAGTTGCCTTTGAGCTGATAATGAGCTTCGGGAGTGTAGTAGAGGTTTTGATTTTGGCCACTTCTTCCTAGGCCATGTCAGGTGGCAGGGGTATTAGGGGTGGTTCTACTCTGTGCAGAAACCTGAGAGAAATGCTAAATTTCTCATGTTCAGAGAAATGAGAAAGTGGTGTTAGTGGCAATGCAGATTTAATAAGGAAAGATTCCAAATAATAAGGATGTGGCCAACCAGGGAAGACCTGGGCTATTTCAGTCCTCTAGATTAAAAGAATGTTTTAAGTTACTATCATCTAACATCATGGGTAGCATCCCCGTGCAAGCTGTGAACTAGCAAGCATTAATTATTAAATCCTTTTTGAAAAGCCAACAAGATATATACATTCCCTGACTATGGTGTTAATAATGCTGAGTCTTCCAGGCTCCATGGATGTCATCACGTTTCTGTACCTAAAGATCAAATTTAGTGATAGCAAAATCCTAAAAACCAGTTGCTGGTCTGTAATTTTTTTAAGTGGAAGAAGTTGTTGAGAATAACTTGTTAAATAATACATCTTCGGTAGAGAAATAGAATTAACCTCAATAAAATTTTCCTTAAAATTATATTTGAAACTGCATTTTAGTTTGTTTTTTTTTACCTCTTCAAAGACTGTCAAGTATTTGGTATAATTAGGTATAGGTGTTCAACCCTTGTACGCTACAGATAAGTGCTTATTTTAGGAAATATTTTTTCTGTGCCATTTCCAAAAAATACAGATCTTTTAGTGCACTGGATTTCAGACACCGACTGCATCTTTCTCAACCAGAAAAAAGGATGTGACTATTAACATCCTGACTGTGACCTCCCTATTATTCCCTTGTAATTCTAGAGAACATACTGCACTGGGGAAAATTACCCTCTTGAGGTTATTTCAATTGCTCAGACTAAAAGCACCTCCTTACCTAAAGAAATGAATTCAGCAAATAAAACAATTCAAGTCAATAACTTACCTTTACTGATATATAATTCAAGGTTAAAAATAAGACTCTATCTTTTATTAAAGTTTGGAAAAATTCGAGTGGAACTTCAGCTTTCCAATAACACTGGCAGCAAATACAAACTGGAACTATGAGAAGTTCATGCATTTTTAATGCATCGTAATGAAACCATTTGCTTGCCCTTAGATTACAACTGACTTTGGGCAGCTGATTTCAAGTGGGAGTGAAATGAATGAGCAAGGGAACATGACTCCTATTCGCTCCATCTTCATTACTGCAGGGAATCTGCAATGAATTTGCCAGGCTTTCCTTGAGAAGTGAGGGAAGTCTGGAAACAGTAGGGGGAAGTCAGAGTTACAGACAATGACTGAGCACTTTGTATGAATTCATATCACTGCAGCCAAACTGAGAAAAACAATAAAAAGCTACTCCTAGCTTATGTGAGATCTACACACAGACTCAGGTTGCGCTTGGCTTGAAAAATGCAAGGATTTTCTGATTGTCTCTGCAGGAATCACTTTTTCATCCTGTTGGTCTTGATGATTAAAGAGAAGCAAAATAAAATTTGTAGTACTGTAGGATGAAGCATCCAAGAAATTACTTGTCAAGTCACTAGCTGCTTTTCCTTTTTTATGTTTATGCATTACAGGACAAAAACTATCAGAAGACAACCCATTATAAACGGAGGAATAAATGTAGAAATTGGCAATCCGTCATATAACATGTATGAGGTGGGCCATGATCACAGTGAAGGTGGTCTTTTAGCCTCAGATTTTACTGTAAATGCAGAAAAGGTAATTTTTTTTTTCTTTTTCTAATGGCAAAATCACAACCTATTTTGTCTTATAAGGTTTTGACTTTAAATGTAATTAATAGAAATGTAAACCAATGGCCTTTGGATTTAGCTACATGATGAATATAACGGCAAGTTAGTTTTAATTAGTACGTGTATTATAACAGTTGTTTTGCAGTCTGATGCTTGCTGATGGACAGTATTTCTAGTACTTGCGTTTTACCAAAACAGACTTTAGACCTAAACTACAAAATGAGGTTTTCGTCATAGACAAAGCTGCTTTAAATTGCCTAATCATAACCTATCTTTTTAGTCTAGCTGCAAATACTGAATGGAAATATATTATTGTAGAGTCTACCTTTTCAAGTGTGAAAGAGTGTATTTATACATATGAGCCTAACTTATGTCATATATGAAAACTTCCAAAAGCATAAAGAATTCAGAGTCCTGGCTGGACAGATAGATGAAATGTTTACACAAAGCTAATAAGTATTATCATTTTCTTGTAAAAGCTGCTGTCACTTCTGCAGCACCACTCTTCAGTGATTGAACTCCCTGAGTGATGTGACATGGGATGAGCAGGGTAATGCTGCGATATCTTTCCTAGAGCTCTGTAATCAGACATACACCAAAGGGCAGGCATCATTCTGTGGCATTTCTGACAAAGCAATAACCGGATTAAGGTTAGCTCTAGGAATGACATCGCTGAATCGCATAGTCAGTGTGCTGAATACAAGAGGTAAGCTGAAAATGGAGTTACTCACTGGAGGAAGGGTAACTGAGCCAATGCTTATTGTGAAGTCTGCCTCTAATCCTTCATGGAAAATAACTATAAAATGCTGAATTTTATTCTCTTATTGAATACAAGAAATTTTCATGCTGAAAAATACCTGTAAGTAGTTTTTTTTTTAAATTGTAGATCACTCTAAAATAATGTTTCTCATCAGTTCACTGTTTAGTTAACAGTGTTGATAAGTACACATGGAAGATGCTCTATTAGCACAGAAACTAAAATTTTCTGTTTATACAGGCCAGATACATAGGGGGAGGGCCCACTGCATTCAAGCTTCCCCACACAGCTCCATCAATCTACCTAAACTCTGACTTGAAAGGACCACTATCAACAGGGGTGAGAAATGATGATTCAAATCCATTTCATTCCACCACAGCCCCTTTCTAAAGAAAATGTGTCTGTCATTTTAGAATAGAGGCATTTTCTGTTTGGTTTTAATTTTTTTTGTCGTCTTTTAATGGCAAGAAGAATGACAGTAACTTACATATTTTCTATTTGGAATAAAGGGTTACTCTCTGCATACCAAATTTCATCTGTGTACCCTTCATTGTAACATGATCTAAAACTGCAAATGTGTCGTTGCAAAGGAATGCAAAACCAGTGAGCAACATGATTCTTTTTCATAGCATTATATAAGTTTAATGTAGCATACACAGCCATGTGTCTTGATATATTTGCCATTTATGCGTAATTACAGGCATTTAATGAAGTTTTTTCAACTGAAAGAAGTTCCCAAATAAATGAAAACAAGTCCAATAACTTTAGAGGAATTTGATACACACCAAAATGAATAATTTCCTCTACTACTTGCAATAAATTGTTCCGCTTTCAATCAATTTGTATCAGAAAATAGTTATTTTTAACACATCTGAATTTGACTACATTTTGGCATGATGTTTGCAAACATTGAAATTTAAAATATTAAAAAGGGACATCAATATGACATTCATTTTCTTGTGCCTCAGTATATATACTCATCCTTTGTGCCATTGGCATTCTTGTACGATTGTATGTTGTATTTGGAATTTTAACAATTTGTATAGGTATGATATTTCTGATGGAGCACAAAACCATGGATGATCAAAACTAGACTATATGCCCATCTCTAACTCTTTCTGTTGTTCAAGTCACTCCAGTTACTTTCTGTACCTCCTTGTACTGCGTTATGTTATCAGTACCCACCCAAAGAGGTATCATGAGACAGAGCCCATTATTATATATAATTTTAATAACTCCATAAAGTACTATATAGATGCCAATTGTCTCTCTTCTGTTGTGGTTTTCATCTTTAATGTTGGCTGTCAATGCAATAAAAAATCCTGTCAATTGAAATAAAACTAAATTTCTGTTTGCCTAAATTTCTGATTAGAATCATTATGATAAATGTCATAAAAAAAGATCTCTAACTCAATGGGGAGAGACAGGTATAACTGAGTTTGCTCTCATAAATTACTACAGCAGTTGATTGCAAATTTATGTTCCATTAATACAGAAGAGTAGCTGCTTCTTTCTTTTTTTTTTTTTTTTTTCTAAATAAATGTGACTCACCTTTTTCTGCCTCCATTCCATGGAAGTGTGAAACACCAAGCAATCACTTTATCCTCTGTAATAAATGGAACAGGCAGTTTTTAACTAACTGAGTAGCTGCCATACCTAGCCAGCCTAAGGAGTATCTGAATCCTGAGTTCAGAATTGGTATCAACCAATTGGGAAAACAAGAATGAAGGTTCTAGACATTTTTCATTCCTTGTTACCCAGGGTGTATTTGCAAATCAAGAAACCTACCCGCTTCTGGCTTGAGTAATTTAAAGTTTAGCCACTTCTTATGTACAAGAAATTAATTCTTCTTCTTACAAAACAAATTAATTTACCTATTTTATAGCTTACTGGTGTTCCACTCAGTATTTGTGTAAACAAAGCCATGCTGTTTCATTAATTATGAGAGAGAGGAAAATTTTGACCATAAGGTACCCTTTCCAGTTGTTATAGGTAAAAAGCTGAACATCTAGTTGGGTAGACATAGATAGGTCTTCTATGAGACAATAAAGGCACAGAGTATAAAGACATTGGAGATTTTTACGTGATGAACCTTGGATAGTGCTTTCTCCTTAGCATGAGTGATAGGAGAGTAAGTTTTCACCCTCGTTATACATTGCTCTGCTTTCAGACTCAGGAGATTTCTCATAAACTGAAGTGCTTTGCAGAATTAAAAAGGGACTTGGCCTATACTGAAGTAGCACTCGTTTCAGTAAATTTATTTTATTACAGTCCAAACTACAAAAACTGTTGAGAAAATACTTCTCAATCTGTAACTACTATGATATATTAACAGTTATGCTGGTTTATTATTAAAGTTTAATTTACATTACAAAAGTACTGAATTTTTGGTCAAATCATGTTGTATATTTGGGCCACAGAATTCGAAAACATGGTCAGCTATTGATGGGATGCTGATGTCTTAGAACAGGTAATATATGGAAACTGTTGGTTGCAGTTTTCTCCTGTTAAACTTGTCACATGGTCTCACAGTGCACCTTCTCTATAAATTTCTTCATATCTATTCTGAAATCTTCTAGTGTATTAAGGTGGACAAGTCAACTTCAGAGACATTTTTCAAGGTTTTTGTTTTAATTTTTCTCATTGTTTTTATGGGTTTAATACCATAATATGCTGCATGTCATATCATTGATTATTTTAATAGCATGTCTCTTCATGAATTTAATTTTTAACTAAATAATCAACTCATTATCAGGTTTGCAGAAGTCCAGGTATTTTAAATATGTCCAATTATATTTTACGTGTACTTGTTTTTACTTTAACAAAACCATTTCCATTTCCATAAATGTTTCCTTTGGTTTAATCCGACTGTTCTAATGTATGTTTGATTTCTCTGCAGACAACAAATTACGCCAATCCAGTATATGCAAAGTTATACATGGATGGACAAAACTGTCGAAACTCCTTAGCAAGTGTTGATGAAAGAAGAGAACTCCTTCCAAAGAAAATAGATATCGGGATAAGGGAGACTGTGGCATAATGTGCTGTAACCTTTTATACTCTGTATAAATGTATAAAATATAAGGATTACTTTTCTATGTACCAACAGTATTATAATTGTTTTGGCATCAGCATTACCTCTGTTTTTTGTTTGGTTGATTGTTTTCTGGGTTTTTCTTTTGCTGATGACTTTTGACTGACCATTTGTAAGGTATTTTTATGAAAAAGAAACTGCACTACGGTACAATTTACAACAATGCTGCTGAAATAACACACCTTTAAATTTGTTAAAATTGCAAACAACATATTCGTTTGTAGCGTGAAAATGAGCAATCTATTTTCTATGAACTTTTTTGGTTCTACTTAATCAATGAAGATGGTATCTGCACTTTTTCATTATGTAGTCTGGAAGCTGTAGTACAGTGTGTAATTTTGTTTATTTTAAATGGTGAAAGAATGATTGAATGGTCTACTCTCTTCTTTGTGCCCATTAGAATTTCTCTTCAGATCCTGATAAAGCTAGATAACTTTTCACAAACAAACATAACTTGCTTTTGAATTAGCTTTAGGTTGCCAAGAAGTAAACAAGACTATAGAAATGAAACATCTAATGATCTGCATGAACACAATGATTATGTTTCAGAAATTCAGTGACTGTACATGATATACTAAACATATATACCATGTAAACAAGCTTTGTATTTATTAAAACCTTATAGAACATAGTAAAGATATATCTTGGAAGCTGAAACCTTACTTGCTGTGGGACAAAGCATATGAACTCCAACAGTCCTGTAGGACAGTAGCCACCCTAGAGCACAAGAGGGCATTGCCTACACATGCATTATATGTTTATTCACTTAATCACGTGCATTACTTATGGATTAATAATTCCCCAACACATACCAAGCAGTAGGGAAAAGAAACAAACCCCAAACCTTAAGCACACGCAGGTGATCACAGCATTCAATTTTGACAATCACAAAAAAGTCATACCTGTTTAGAGATGTTCAAGAATACAAAACACAGCAGTTTCTTTAAACGAATATAAACGACTGTGATATTGCTGAGTTAAAACACAACCAAATTGCATATTAGTGAAACCTTACCTGAGCCTGAGTTTCAATAGTCTGGGTTAAATATCAAAATCCAATTATCGAAAGTGAAAAGCATCAGTATCAGTTTCCAGCACTTGCTCTGACCTGGTCTGCTTTCCGTTGTTGCTAAGAGGAAAAGTCTGACTCACCTTTTTTAATTTTGATGGAAATAAAGAATACAATTTCTTTCAGGTTTGAACTGAATCGAAATATTTTATACATAACTTTAAAGGCACAAAAGACTTATTCACACATATACTGTGGAGGACTCTTCCTTCCTCTGCTAGACATGACTGACTTTTAGCTATCATAATATATTAACCTAACAGATTAAATATGTTTGTGGTTGCTCTTTATTCCCTTTGTACAAGCATTACAAAAATAACTGCTGTTTTATAAAAGATTTTTGTTGTACTATTGTGCATGCATACTACCTATTTCTAAACTTTGCCATATTGGGGCCTTTATAAAACTCTTGGTTTATGTAATACTAGTGCAATTTTGCTTGAACAATGTTATGCATATCATAAACTTTTTCAGGTTCTTGTTTAAGTACATTTTTTTAAATTGAACAGTATTTTTCATTTTGGTTATAATAGTCATTTTGCCTATGTTTCTACAATGAAGTGTTAAATACTTTATAAAAAAATTGTTGACTGATTTATTTAAATGAAAATCTACATACTTAATTCAGTGTGTTGGCTAATTTTTAAATTTAACTTACAAAATGAGAACTAAAGGAGAGCAAATTGAAGAGAAAGATCATTACTTTGTACAAATGGATAAATTCCTTTTCTTAATGACAATTTTTGCTTTTTATGCAACTTCTATTTCAATGTTTTTGCAGCTCTGCACATGTTCGAATAACTTAGGTGTGTAGCTGTATATTATGTCAATAGAATTTTAAAACTATTTTATTTTTTATAAAAATTCTGTATTAAATAGTTTCATACCACATGGCTATGATTCCACAGGTTCTGCCTTTATTCCACTGACATCGTCAGAGATGGATTTGGCCCTCAATTTTTTGCATAATTACAGTTGTTATGAGGCGTAAGTAGTTGGTCTTTTCAGAAACGTTTCTGTTTATTTTCTGGCAGAGGATTTCATCTCTTTAATGCTTAGGTACCTAGAATTAAATTTTAACTGGTGAATACAAAAGTTACATGAGTTTGAAATCATGAACTCTTATACGGACCCGAGGAAATTTATTTATTGTGATGTCTCATGTTTCATTTCAGTGAGACATTTTTATTTAATTTACACTTGCTTAAATGTAAACTATTTTAAAAAATTAAATGTATTTATTTTTTTAGAAATGCACATTTGATGTCAGTGGAGCTATTAGATATTATATTAGATCAGAATCTGGTCTTAAGTTAATAGGCAGAATTTTGATGGAGATACTGAGCTCTACCACTGCCATGCCTTAAAGGTCTTTAAATTACACATCAGTGTAATAATCCCCAATGGGTTTTTTTGTTTGTTTGTTTTTTACTTTACCAAGGTTCTCCATAGGAACTGTTTCCCACAATCTTTTAACAGCCCCAGGGTCCCTAGGCTCTCTAGCTGTGCAAAACACATAAGGAGCTGGAGGGTGAAAGATTGAGAACATGATCAATAATCTATACATGCATCCTCATAAGTTCAGTAAAATAATTTTAGGCAGGAAATTCTATAAGTTTTTACAAGAAGCAAGAAAAATTTTTAACTTTCTACATTTCCATAGCCTTCTTGCTGTTGGTAGTGCCACAGATTCATGCGTGTTTTAAGTTCACATAAGCTTAGACAAAAAAAAATTGGATAAATGTGCCTGTATTGCTGATTAAAGCATCTGTCTCTTCAGGGTATAGTTGCAAGGCTTTTTGTGGTTGCTTTCCTGAAGATACTGATGACATTTCCTGTGAAATGCTAGTACTGTACTATTTCACTGAATTCATCAGGGTAAAATTTTTCTTACACAGTGCTAATATTTTTCTTAGCAACGGGAAGCCATTTGGGGGTTCCATAAATATCAGGTATTAAAATTATTCAGAGAAATGGAACTTCTGATAAATCTAACCCTGAAATACACTGTTCATTTACTTTTTACTCAGAGGCTTAAGGAGTTGTTCCGGGTTCCTGGGTGACAGCGATACAGTTTTATGTATCTTTTTACTTTTATTACCCACATTTTCATTCAACAGAAAAAAACCCAAACATGTAAGCTTGAAGAGTAACATGATGTGCTCCATCCCAAACTAGGTTCTTGAATTTTTTGCTGAATGGAGAAACTATATGCAAAATATATGAAAAAAAGCATTTGTGCCAAACTTTATGTAGTTGTGTCTAACAGATTTTTCTTTTCCACAGAGGTTACACTGGTATATTTACATATAACAATAGAGCAGTGGAGACTCTGCCTCATGACAGACCTCTTGTTCTGTGCAAGAGTTTGCATAAATACTAAATTATTACAACAAAATTTCAAAATGACAAATTGAGACGGGTAATGCTTGTTTTACTTAGATTGGTCATTTCAAACAACTAAGATCCCCAACATGAATACAGTCCTGTTGATAAACATGCTGGGTAGGGCATTTGAGAATATTTATTTTTATGTGCATTTTTCAATTGGTCTTTCACTTCTGAGACAGTCATGGGGTTTGATGTTTGCAGAAGGTAAAGCTTTGTAGCGGAATGTCTTTAAAACTTCCACCTAACTTTGTTGTCTATTGGGGAGATTGTGGAGAAGCTCCTAGTATAACAATAATTTATTCTTTTTTTTATCAAGCTCTTAGTGACATATCTCCAGTCACATATGTGATAAAACTTTCTGGAAACATATTTCAGAAAATTTGTTTCACATAAAAGTGCATAATGTATTAGCGTAAACCCCAGCATCTTCTCGTGCATCCCCCTTTTTGGAGGATGAGAAGATGATAAAGGAAAGAAATGTCAGTGATAATAAAAGGTCCTCAAGGTAATCAGCCTTAAAAATAAAGACATTTTTCATGTGGAACAAGCAGACCAACAGTGAATCTTGTCTGTCTAGCCCTGGGCATCTCTGCAAAGATATTCAGGCATTTAGAATTTTTCAAGTCTTAGATGAGCAGAAGTATGGCTGACGGAGGGAATGATAATTTATCATCCTAGTTCTCTAATTTATCACGCTTACCATCTCCACGTGTGTGAAATACTGATCTGATGAAAATAAAGGTTTCTAATTTAGTGCCCATTTTGTAAGATGACAAAAAGGAGCAAAGAAACATAAAGCATCTTTTTGCTTCCCTATGGCAGTTGCACATCACTTAGTAGATGTTGTGACTCTCATGACCTCTGACAGTGGTCTTCAAAGTAGTACTTGAATAGAGGGAACTGTCCGCTGGTCTCAAGAGGATGTTGAATGAGTTTTTCCTGGAAAGAAGATAATGATACTACTACCACTTCCAGTACTGCTACTCAACCTAAAAATGATCTCTTTTTGTCCAAAAAAAAAAAAAAAGGTAATTTTTAAATACCAAGATTTGTACATATACACAATATGTATAGTATCAGAACTGATTTGTAGTTACTCTGAGTAAGAACTTATTTTCACAGGTGAGTAGAAAGGAAGGTCTGAAACTGGTATGGAAACTCAAGGGATATGGTAATTTAGGATTGCTATTAAGGTCTTTAAAAGCGAGTGTTCAGCCTGGAGGAAAAAAAAAAGGGATTATGCAAGCTGGTCACTGAATTTTTCTGAGTCTTAAATAAACAATCTTGGACATTTCAAGAGTTGGCACCCCAAAAGATTTTTAAAAAAGATCTGTGTAGTCAAACAGTTTCTCATGTCAGTAATGCCCAAGCAGCAATCTTCTGCCTCGTAAGCAGGTGTGTGATGATTCGTTAAACAGAATAAGATAAGTACGTGTAGATTCACGGCAGGAGATCATCACAGAAGAGATGATCTGCTCAACAGGTTGGAGTTCAGCCACTTGAATAGTTCAAGAGGTTGGGAAGGGATGACACTTGAGCCTCGGGGAATAGGTTTCCACCTGCATCAACAGCCTGGAAGTGCTGGTGGCCTCTGTGTCAGGGGCACACACTGATCTCTGTAACAGGACAACACCTAAATCAGGCCACAAGCCTGAATGGTCCTATCTGTCCAAAGAACAGGAGGTAATGTTAAGATACAAAGTTTTCAATCCATTGATGACTGTAAGGTTTGGCCTCACCCTCATGGCTAAGAGGGTATCGTAGTCCTAAAGGTGGTGGAGTTCTGGTCTATTAGAAAGGCAGGAATGAAACTTTGAGGAGCACATCATTGCTGGGTGTGAGAGCAGTCACACTGGATAGGAAAGTTGTAGCAGAAAGCATGTTAGATGAAGCTTTCTGTCTTCTGTCCAGACCCTGTGCCACCTCATGGCAGAAGTTATCATGCACTGTCTTTCTTTCATGGTGCTCAGAAAGAACAGCATCCATACCTCTGATGAGAAGTTACGGCATGCGCTGTCAGCTCAGGGACCGTTTCCCTGCGTAATTGACTGTATCTGGGCTTGTGTAACAGACTTGAGGAAAATGTGTAGGCTCCCGTGACAGTAAGAGCAGCTGTTTGGAGCTCCGTTCTCACTTGTAACAGGTCTAACTCTACCCAGGAGGATGCTCTTCCCCTTTGTTTTGGTGAGCAGTCTGCACCTTCCCCGAGAAACTGATACAAATAGAGATAAACTCTGGTTTTCCTCTGAGGGCTTGTTGTCTGTACATATTTCACACCCCATCCTTCAATTTTTTCTGCCAAGGAACAGGGTATGGAATACATTGTGACTTCATTTGAAAGTAAGAGAAGATGATTGTTTGTTCCTCTTGCCTTTCATGAAATCTTAAAAAAAGTCACAGTGAAAGCTTGAACATGTAATTCTGGATACTGTTCCTGCGGTGTTTGCATATAGAGATGCTTCCAGTGTGAGTGTACGTATTGGCAAAATATCTTTAAAAAAAGCAGTACCAGGTAAGTGACCTTTCTTTCTGGGGAGAAATTTTGTTGTTCAGATGCAATGAGTGTGTCCCTCCCTGTGTCTTGCTGGAGCAGGTCTCTAAAGGAGTCTCTCTGAGGGGATCTTGATAACCTCAAAGGAGGTTGTAGAGGTGGGTGTTGGCCTCTTCTCCCAAGGGAATAATGACAGGAGCAGAAGAAATGGTCTGAAGTTGGGGCAGGGGAGGTTTAGATTAGATATGAGGAAGAATCACTTTCCTGAGAGGGTGGTCAGGCACTGGAACAGCCTGCCCAGGGAGGTGGTGGAGTCACCATCCCTGGAGGTATTTAAGAAACATGTAGACATGGCACTGCAGGGCATGCTCTAGTGCCCGAGATTGTTGGTTTGTGTCTGTGGGTGGGTGTGGTTTTGGGTGCTTTTTGGTTTTGTTTTTTTTTTTCATGGTTGGACTCGATGATCTCAACGGTCTCTTCCAACCATGAGTATTCTGTGATTCTGTAATTGAATTGAGAGTTTTCCCTGAGATACCATGGTGATCACTGCTGTATGGTGTCTGACAGCATGACAGCTGATAACTCAGTTTGTGTGTCCTCTTAGGTTGCCAAATGGCATTAGACAGGTCATAGGTGGCCCTTTTTACTGGGGTACATGCTTCCTGGTGACTTGTACGAGTCCTGAATTTCAAACAGTAGTT